GTGCAATCGTGTCAACGCGCGGTCTGAGACGACTGGCGAAACTGCTTCGATGCGCCACATGGCTCCGGAGGGGAGGCGTCTCTTGTTGCCATGATAGAGGCGGTATCTTATCTTCCATTTGTTAGGCGCCATTCTTGTGTGGTATTCGCCGTTCGTCTCGGGGGGGGGGGGGGGGGGGGATTGCCACATCCCAGGCTACATGCGGTGCGATCGACCTCAACAAGAATCCGCCTACAACGGCCAGGCTGCATACGATTAAGAAGACGGACACACAGACAGACATACCTCCAGCACAAGAAATCGGTGGGGCTTTTGCTCTCGGTTTCCAGCCCCGATGAGCCCCAGGATGTGCTTATGGCTCACGCGTTTCAACACGTCCAGCTCAACCTGCGACGGGGAAGAAAGAACGTGCCAAAAGTGTTAAGACTAGTACGGACAGAAGAAGGTACTGGGCAGAGAGAACGGAACGGTAGTCAACGTGGAAGACAAGAACAAAAAGAGTCACGCATCACTCACTAGTCTCGCTTGGGGTGAGAACATCCCACCGATAAAAATATCTCAGGCAGGAACCGCAGGAGGGGGTCCAACCCCCCCCTCCTATGTGACCCCGGTTGGGTCGTCTAGCTAGTAGAAGTGGAGGATAGGGGCCAGAGGGGCAGACGACAGAATCCAATAATGGGAGAAAAAAAAAAAAAAACAATGCCACCCACCGTCGACACTTTCACCTCTCGATTCCTAGTCAGTAATCCGACGCTCAATTCGCTCTTGCACATCAACATCAGCCCTTCCCCACTCCTAGTCTTGAAAACGAGCACCACGATCGCAGGCTTCTTGCACTCTTCCTGGGTAAACGGACCCACTTCTCCCTTTGCAAAATCAGTACACTGCCCTTACAAAACGAAATCTGCACGAGCCCCCTCCCCCCCGCCCACCTCGAGATCGTGCTCCGCCACTGCGGGCTCCTCGCAATCCTTTCGGGGTATCTTGACCGCCACCTTGACACCGTCTAGCTCGGCCGAGTAGATCTCGCACATCGCCCCCATGGTCATGTAAGTGACCTTGGACAGCTCCGACCACTGCAAGACTCTGTAGCCTGGGTTGTCTCGTTGTCGCCCAGCACCTGAAAATCAGTTTTTCCGAGTGCTTTATGACGTCAATACCATTCCCGAAACAACCTTGTCCGTTATCGCGCGAATTGAAAAAACTGCTGTGGTTACCGCAGGTGACATGACGGCAGATACCACACCCCCCTGGATCGATTTTTCAAAGCTGGGTTACTCGGCAAGAAAAGCGGTGACGTTGCCGAAAATTGCGGCGCTGGAACCGTCTCGTGGAGAGCTTTCCAAAAACGAATCACTTGATACCGGCATTCTCTTCATCGTGGAGAAACCGAGATTTGAAAATCGGTTCAGGGGGATGTGGTATCTTACAACCTACGGAATATCTCGAACGGGTACTAGTAGTCAGCTGTGTTTTGTATGTAGATTTTCGAAAAAAAAAAGGACCATTCGACTCAACACCTGAATATCCCAATGGTCCCTGTAGTCCCGAACAAGTGCGATAAAGTGTAAGCATGCGACAGTCACATGTCGGGTCTTGTCCATACTGCTGTCATCTCCCGTGATGCGAGACAGGAAGAAATCTCCGTCGTGTATCGATGGCCATCGTCATCGTGCTACATGTATGGTGCTTGCTTTTGCGTCTCTTACATAAACTCTTGGAGAAGCGTGCATTCTCATCTCATCTCATCCCATCCCATCATGTCCCGGACCATAGCCTTGATACCTTTCGGTGAATTCTGGACTCATCAGGTTGTGTAACACGGGGAAATGCCCATTCCTACCGACTGATAGTAGTACCGGTAGGGCAAATCGCTCATAGCCTAAACATTCAGAGTACGGGCGCCAAGCTCTTGATCGAGCTGGTGCCACCTCAATCAAGTGGCTGTGACTCATGGTTGATCCTCGCCAGGTCTCATAAAACAACTTGTTTTGTTTCTCAGTACACCTTCCTGTCGCTTCCCATGTTTTGTCGCCATAAGGAATGAGCCGTCCCTTTCCCTCATCGACCGTGGAGTAAAACCTCGTGTACGCAAGAACAAATCGTGACGCCCTTGCCTTTTTTTTACCTCATGGTCATGCCGTCACTCGAATCATGCATGTTTACCATTCGCTACGCTCGTTCTGCCATTCAACAGGTGTCTCTCGCGGCCGCTGCTGTCGCTGTTTGCACGTGTACAGCCCTGCCCCCGGACGCTATTTTGGTACGTGTGGCCTCCTGCACCCCCACCCCTACCCCCTGCCGTATGGAGTGTGACGACCACGGGATGACATCCAAAAGTCCTCATACGAGCGGCAACTAAATATTTCTTTGCTGCGGCAGTGTGCCGACGATCTATGAGGTAACGCGTGAAGTAGCTTCGCCATGAAGCCTTTTCGCTCTCGATCTCAAGTCATGACGGGGCGAAGCTAAAGCCGGCCAGACCGCGTTGTCGATAGGAGGACCCGAAATTTGGCCTCAAAACATAGAAATCTCGTCACACACAGGGTGCGATACTCAGGGTAGAGTAACCACCAAAAATAACTCTACGCCGACATTACCCCGAAGATATCACTGAAATATCATTGACACATACATACGACTTGGCGCCAGTTTACTACGAGGCAGCTTTCAGAAGGGTCGTCAGCAGTAAATTGTACGGAACCAAAACTGCATCGGCCCTATGCGATATCGATTTACTTCTACTTCGTTCATAAGAGCATGATTGGACATATGCATACGATTGGACGCCAGTCGAGAGCTCGGTCGATCGGATGCACTTATCTATTTAGGTGGGGCATCAGACCCGCCGGCCTCCAGATCTAAAGAGGCCAAACACTATCACTGATGTAAGGTGGACGCCCCAGAGGGGATTGTGACAGAAGCGAACGTACTCATGGTTTAGTCGAGCCCAAACCGACGTGGTTATGTATGTATCGAACATCGGAACAATGATATGCGTATGTAGTACGACAACACCACCTTGTAGCAGCACGGAAAAGTAAATAACGAAGACACCCTTTTCATGTGGACAGGAACAACGGAGAGGACGGTGTTCGTGTGTGTGTGCATTTATGTATTAAGTCCGATTCATTCTGGACGTCCAGGCTGTACGCATAATGTCTGGAAGCTGGAAGCATCGGCCACAGGGCCACACAGGAGTTTCCCATTTTCTCCACCTTCCTTCTGCGCCGTGCTTGTTGCCTTGTACGCAATTTTACGCAGTAGTTTTAGGTCACGAGAACAGCTGTTGAGCCTTGACTCTTGCTTAGACGCGGCCTGGACGCCAAAAACACACAAACGTTGCAATAATACATAAATGATGAACACATACACGCATCGCCTCACCCGCCACGCACCCACCTACCCTCCTGCTGAGTACTGTATTTACACGCATGACAACACTTTGTTGGAGAAAATCAACCACCCATTGAACCGGTTGGTTGATGCCTCTCCCAGTACGAGAATACGGGAGAAATTCACGCACACACTACCCTTTGGAAACACAGAGTATGTAGCAAAGTAGATACGAACGTGCTGCTTGCTGCTGTTGCTGCTACTGCTGTGTACATGCATGTAAAAGCCGTTCAGGAAATCAAGCAAACCAATCGACTTGTATGCGGACTCAATGCAGCACACCAATGTACAGCCGTGTACGACGACACAGCGAGCGCTTCGAGTTTTTCTTCGCACACAGCAGGGGGTCGGCCTCACCGAAGGGCGTGAACCACATGGATCATGGGGGCAACTGCTGTATCTAAGAGCACACGCGCGAGGACACGTGATTGTCTGGAGGAGCGTGCCCCTCCATAGTGTCAGAGATGAGGGAAGAAAACCGTCAGGCTGACTACATGCTAAAACTCGGTAGACCCTACTCTGAAACCAGTACAATAGGCTTGGTCACATCGAACCGGTCAGAACCGCCACCACTTGTTCGTAGGACAGCACACAGGACACGAGAGAGAAGACGGGGGTTTTCTAGACTCTGATGGGGGCTGGGTTTTGCGATGGGCAACCAAAACGCTCCGCGGGCAGTCAACATGTCCGTGTGGGTTTTACCGTAAGGGGACGTCGCAAGGCAGGGGGAGAATACCGACACCTTGCAAGGCGACGTCATGGTACGCGAGAGAGCGGACAAGCCCAAGGTGTAGCGTACCAACAAGGGAGTACTGCTGTACCGGCGTAGTTCAAAAATCATCATCTCTCGTGCGGTATATATAGCCACGACACGACGCATCTCAACATTCGTGTGGGATGAACAACAGCGGGACACATCATATATTTTGAAACCTGCTCTGTCTGCTTCTGGCTGTATCTCCTCCCTCCCCAGGACAGACCCGCTATCACCCCCACCCCCCTCGAATCACCCGCACCATTGTGCCTCTAGCTCACCTGGACTACTAGCCCCTTGCCCTGGCGTGCGGGAAACTCCGCCGCCTCCCCGGTAAGGGCTGTTACTTCGCGCCCCCGACCGCTGCGCGCTGTTGCTGCTGTTCGTTCTCCTCTCCCTACCGCTAGTGCTGTCGCCACCTCCCTCCGTGCCGCTCCCTTTCCGCGCCGCCGCCCCGTTGCTCTCCCCGCCTGCTGCCGCCCCCTGCGTCTCGTCCGGTGCCAGTGGCCTTGTTGACGATATTGGCGAGCTCCCACCTGGGCCTACCCCTCCTCCCTGCGGGTGATGATGGTGGTGATACCTGCCCACGCTAGAGACGGCGGAAGAACTGCTATCCTGAACACTGCCGTGGCTGCCAAACGCCGCCAGCCCACGGATGGGCTCTGCCGCCGCCCCGGGACCCTCAAGCCCACCCCGCATCCCGACAATCAGGGAGCTTCTGTTTGGCGTTGCTGCTGCCCCCTGCTCCGTCAGCGCCGGCGCTAACGAGCCTCCTCCCAGAAACTCGATGTCCACATCGTTTCCTTGAACTTCATCGTCAAACTGGCGTTCTATCATTGCCATCACCGTTGGCTCCGACGAGATGGCCTGCACGCAGGCCCTTCGGTAACGTGTAGTTCGTGTCACACGTCTCGTTGCCCCTCTCTCTCGCGCGCTCCCTCTCTTCCTTTCCCCGGTACTACGTTAATGACTCTGCTCTCTCTGTGGAGCGGCGCCGTTTTCGCAAAAGAAAGGAGAGATTTTTTTTTTCTTCGAGATGGGGGTACAAATGAAAGAGGCTTTTCGGTCTCGGCCGCCGCCGGCTCTCTTGCCAAAAAACCCAAAAAACCCGAAAAACCCGAAAAAAGTAGTAGACTCTCCCCCTTTCCTCTGCTCCTGCGAGCGCGTAAGAGATTGGCACCTCAGATCAGCACGAGTAAATATCCTTTGCGATCTTCCTCGAGCCGTCTTCACTTCTTCAGTGTCCGTTGTTCATGACAAGGAAATCGGTACAATACATACATATCTCGTTATGTGTGGCTTTTGGCACAGCACACTGAGTACATTATTATTATGCGATGCCCTTACTACGCATGCAAAGCATACGTAGTCCCGTTGTAGAATGCATAGCGCCGGCAGTGCATGTCAGCGAGAGCGACGGAGAACATATTCAAGACCGTATACGACCAGTGGTGTAATGTGCAGAAAGATCATAAATCTCATTTTAGTACACTTGCTTTATGTTGCAGTAAAACCAGGTCTCAGCAACTCTCTCGCGAGTTGTGTGCTGCCGAGCTCCAGCATGTATGCATACGCTGCAGCAATAACTGGCTGTAGATGCCCTCGAAAACTTCATTGATACCGAACTTCCACGTGTAGCGTTGTGGTTCTTATTGCCTCCACTACCGTGCAGCGAAAGGTTATCCCGATAAAAAGATACAAAGGAACTTAGTCTAGGTTTCGGGATGATGATCGCACTCTTTTGAGCCTCCCTCCCGTGGCTGCGAGAAACCCACCATCTTGCGTTTCCACTCTTCAAACATCCGTGCTCGTAATGTTGTATCTCACGATGCATACCAGTATGTAGGATTGAACCCGCTCTTCGACTCTATACAAAACAATCCTCCCCGCTTAGCTGTGTACCCTTACATCAGTACGGGCACTGCAACAGGCTCGGCGACAGCACATGAACGTCTTGGCGGCAACCAAAGCAACAAAATACCGAAAACACAGGCGACCAGAGACAGACTGATGGAACACTTGTCATGTCTGGCAAAGAAGAACAGCACAACAAAGAACCAAAACAAGAAGGGCATAAAGATCTCCGCACAACAAAAGTAGTCAGCTAACCAAACCTCCATCGTGCTATCATCGGAGCCCCCACCAACCACCGCGAAAATTGACCTAGCTACTGGATGCCAACGTCCTCTAGCGACCAAAAAACACCAGTTGAAGAAGGGCCGCGCGCCCCGTAATAGGCCAGGCGAGAGGCAACGCGGGGTGACTAAAAATCGTAGGGGAATCGACTTGCGGTTCGATATGCTTCACTACGTCCTGTTGCCGACAATGGCGCCCTTGACCGTGCTGTGAATCTTTTCTTTCACCAACATCATCAGCGCGGCCGACAATACCCCTCGCCCGATCTCTGGGGTGATGCCCTTGTGGGTATGGGGGGGTGCAGCAGTGGCGGGGAGCGCAGAGGAGACGGCGCGCGCAGGGGGCGATGTGATAGGTTTAGATGTGTAGACGGAACATAGAGAAGAAGGATCCCTTCTAGAAGGCGCGGGGAGATGTAACTCCCCGCGGAAGGATAAAACAGGTGACAGGGACAGGATCCTAGTGGCCCCTGCGCTTGAGCAGAGGATCCTGCCCCACCGAGTTCGGTTCTTATCGAACCCAAGGCAAAAGCTACTGCTGCTGCTGTTCCACAACAGTAATATCAAGTGAGTTCTTCTTCACGGGTCTCCCAGATTGCACCACGCGTGCATACCTTTACAGCGGGAGGGTATTTGTGTTTTTCTGTACGATGACCACGGTGAACCACGGTGGGGCCTCGCATCTCTGCAAAGCCGCCACGGAGCACTTGTTTTGCTGTTTCATGGTCTAAATACGCACAAACGAGCCCAGGAGAAAGCGCACCTGCCATTCCTGTCGTTGTTATTGTGGGGCATTCTCCAAGCTCATGGTATGGCATCATTGACAAGGGAGCATCGTCCTTTCCACAATCAAGAGAGAAGGAGCTGCGTAAAAATCTCAACAGCAGAATGCCGTGTTACAGACCTGGAAGAGCGCCGAAAACCCGTCGTCCTTCAAGAGGGTGATGAGACTCGACAGGATGGATGTCGAAGGGGACTTGGTGCCGTTGCCGCTCCCCTCCCCCGTTTTCTTGCTCATGATGATGACCTTGGCTCGAATGTACGGGAAGACGATGACCGTTGCCACGGCGCGCGAGATGGCCCCGATGACGAATGCCTACTTGCGAAATTCGGGGACACGAGAGCGCCAAAGGGAGGCAGGGCGGGAGATGCCGAAAAACAGACACACAAACACACACACACACACACAGAGAGAGAGAGAGAGAGAGTGAGTGATGAGAGAAAGGAGAGAGAGGACAGAGATAGAGAGACAGGAAAGACCGACCGACAGAGACAGAGAGAGCGAAGAGCAGAGGTATTGCAGGGATTCGTTGGCTCTTCCCCGACGACAGAGGGACAGTCACGATCTTTTTTTCCACGTCCCCACATCAACTGCAACATCATACACGGTAGGGCGGCGGCAGACCTGCACGGCGGTGAGCTCCTTCGGTTGGGCCGAGCTGCGGCCGTCACTCCGGTAGGCGAGCGTGATTGCCTTGAGGCGATTGAAAACAGCGTACTGGATCGCTGGCTTTAGGCAGAGCACGGCGTACGCCTTCGTTTCGCGGGGGGGGGGGGGGGGGGGAAAAAAACCAGGGGGTGCCAACCGGGAAAAGGGG